TAAAAAAAAAAGAAGAAGGTAAATTAATCCCATAACCAAGTACTTCCTCCTGTAACTACAGTGAGGACGTTGCAATGAATATATTTTGTAATCAATTGATAGGACTAATACATATTTAGAGATAAAGTGCATTATTAGTATTTTTATAATCTCAGCACTAGAACCTTGGAGGAAAGCAGATTGAATGATGCGTATGCTTTGTTTTTTTATAGTTCAGACAGAACACGCTACTGTTATTGTTTGCTTGGATGAGAACTTGTTCATCTGTTTTACATCTGTGCTCCCATTTCAGACGTAAGTCCAGGACAAGTTCAGCCTAGCTCAGCACAAAGACTGGAAAAAGAATGGGCAGGCTTTTATATGGCCTCTAAATAAAATAAAAAAGCAAAAAGTAAGGAGAAGAACACATCCACTCGCACGCTGATCTATTTACGTTATGTGTCTTACTAGAAAAGCTATTATAAAGGTATATATTTCAAGTTCTATGTCGACTGTCCCAATCTTTCAGAGTGATCTTGAATTGTTAAGGACAGGATGTCTTGTCTTTCAAAAGTACCTGGCAAGTTAAGATGCACTTTTGTGTATGTGTCCTGTCAACCAAAATGGTATCTTAGTTTGTATTCCTCATATTGTTTTTATATATTGTCCTTTTGATTCTGTGGGTGTGATGTTGTGTATTGTCTTGGCAACAGTTGATTCCCATGTGCCTCAAGCCCCCGCAGAGAACTGGGTGGGTGGAACACGCCAAATTTCCATTCACATCCGTATAAGGAATGAACCAAATCTGTGGGGCTGGTGGGGGTTTTATCATGCCAAGAGACGGTAAAGAAATGTGCTAATGCATGTGTGTATTTTTGGCAACATTATCTAAACAAACAGCAGGATGACATGCGGTGAAACAAAGGCTCCATAAATGACTCACCAGGTCATCGCTAGCATTTTCTCATTGTGTGGTTGCTAACATTTAAAGTTATTTAGTGGTAGCTTCAGCTCTTTATGCTTGGCAGTAAATTAGCTGTATGATGTGATTTTACAAGGCAATTAAAGTGCAATAACGCTAGAACACCAAGACAAAGACCGCTCATTTACACTGTCTTGTTTGAAAGACAGTGTAAATGGGCCTGTAAACGTCCCTCAGACACACTTGTCTTGACTTTGAGGATGATGAAAGCCAGAAGACAATGACATCAGGCCAGTCTAGTTCCCAAAGCGTTTCATCTCACTTTGTAGACTGGGTTTGTCTTTTTTTTTTGTGTCTCACTCTGCTAGACTTCATGTAGTTTCAGAAACATTTTCTGTTCCATGCCTTGCCCACTAACCCAGCGATGGTCACCTCTTTTTTTGTGAACAAGTTTGTCTGCATTCACTAATACTGACATTGACACTGTTTTCCCGCCAAAATGTCAATACGAAAGTACCCACTAAAAATTAGACAATCGACTTCTTTCCCATTGCCAGAAGTAAAGTATACGTTTGCAGTTGTGTAAAGTAGATTTCCTCAAGTACTGTACTTTTTTCAATTTCAAGGGACTTTACTTGAGTATTTACATTTTTCGTGTACTTTTAATCCATTTAATTTATTTAATACCTTTAGTTACTTTGCAAAAACAGAGTCTAACAGTGAAAATGCCACGGTGGTAACCTGCTTTTCACACCTGCTCCTTAAACATTATATTTCAAACTCTCAAACCAGAGTTGGTGATTGTTGAAACAGTGGAAAGACTAACAAATACAAGTTTTTTATTTTTTTTAAATGATGTCGCTTTGGAGAGCGTATTAGTTGCATGTATTACAATTTAAGAAATGGTCTTATGTCTTTTGTATTAAACCTTTATATTCACTTCAATGCGCTCACGTAAAATTGTGCCGTAAAGGGACAAAAATGTGTGTGACTACGGACTTGTCTCGGGAAAGAATGCCTATATTAACCTTTACCGCTAAACAGACAAGCCAGATGTTAAAAGGTGTTAGTGGGTTTTTGTCTAGTGGCATAGGGCTCTATGTAATGAAACTTTAGTTTGTTGTCGCCTAGTTTGACATATGTCTCCTTGCATAAACTGGATTAGGTCTACTCAATGGAGACTCCAATCACCACCATCCAACAATGCTTCATCCAGCCCAGTATCATGGGACTTTATATTGGCTGATTCTCCACCTCAATATTTACGTTTATTGCAAATTTGCAAAGGATTTTGTTCTTTATGATATAGGCAGAAATTAAGTGTTGAGTCTTTGTAAGTTGCTTTGGGTAAAAGCGTCGAACAAGTGACGTGTAATGTGATGTTATACACAGATGTAGAAAACAATAATTAAGACCAACATCTCATAATCATGAGTAAATTCAAACCAAAAACTGTTTGTACCATCACAAGAAAAGGACAGCATGTGGGTGACCCATCCCTTTCCTCCCCTTATTAGCCATGTTTGAACACCTTCTGGATATGTTCATTTGTCCTTTCTCATAGAACTCAAAAATGAAACCAAAACGGGTGCATTTAGGTTGCGTCAGTTCCAGAAAGTTCTTATTGCTTTTAAGTTGTTACCACAATAAGAAAAAGTGGCTTCAATTAAGATTTTTGAAGGTCTGCCAGACGCTTCATTCCAGATCGATTTGGAAAAAGTGTGTAAATTCCCATTCCCTGTCCTGTCTAGCAGATGTCTGTGAGTCGTGGGATCAGGAATGCTGGAACTCACGACCAAATGTGGTGCTTTGATGTGTCATTCCCAAAGAGAGACAAAAGAGTGACTGTATGAAATATAAGCTAAAGCTAAAGCTCTGCTAATAGCATTAAACGCCTGATAGTCAAAATGTAAGCATGAACGTGTGGGCAGTACATTTTCTTTCCTCAAACCCCTTTATATGCAACAAGAAAAGACAGTTGAAACAAACAGTCATGCAACAACTTAAACAAGTGTGTTGTGTGTACTTTACTTACAATACTTTAAGAGTACATTTCGTCAGTGCTGAGTGGTGGAATGTAACCAAGTACATTTACAAAAGTAGCGTACTTCAGTATTATTTTTGACAACATTTTACTTTACTTTAAGTATTTCCATTTCATGCATTTTATGCTACTCTATACTTCTACTCCACAACATTTATTTACCACCCGTTGTTCCTAGATACTTTTTATATATAAAACAACACTATATTATATGATGCATTACTTACCAATCAAGTATTTTAGGAAGTCCCCAAAATTGGCTCCACATTGACAAACTATTAAAATGCTTTTACTAGTGATAATATAATATTATTCATATATACTTAGCAAGAGCCTTTCTGCATTCCCTTACTTTTTATACTGTAGTACATAGAGTGGTGCCGGAACGAGTCCTACAACCCGGAAGTGAGTCAGCATTTTACCACTATGGGTTCCCTCGTCTCAGAGTCTCTCCATAGGATTTTGGAAAATAGCTGGAAGTAAGGTCTGTGGTTGACACACATTTAAGAGACGGATCACGTTTTGTTCTACGACATTAAATACATCAGCAGTGACCCCACTGGTGATTTTTGAAGAGTTGACGTGTCTGAAAAACGATGGTTGTTAACATGTGACTGAATAGGACTACAGAAATTGTCGAGGGCGTTGTACGTCATTACGCCGAACACGTAAACACTCCCTCTAAGTTTGTTTGCCCTGTTCTGCTTGAAAGCAAGTACCTGCCTCCTCTGTAACTGTTCAAACAAACACTTCAACTTTTACAATTTTAATCTGTATTTTTGAATATGAATTGGCGTGACGTTGAAGTTGCTTCCTTTATAGCATAACGTTAGCATTTTGCTTCTGACGGTTAGATTTATGATTTGAAAATTATAAAGTAAGGTAGACACGTGGATATTATCCGGCTGAACAAAACGTGCATTTATCCACAGACCTTATTTTGAGCTATTTCCCAAAATCCCATTGCTTTTTTGTCGAGGGAACCCATGCGCAGCTTACTTCCGGGTAAATACGTCATCCCTGCACCACTCTAGTTGGCTGTTACTGAAATGGGTCATTGTGCAGAATGATTAGAATTTGTACTTACTTAAGTACAGCACCTGAGTACTCTTCCCGCCTCTGTCAGTACTCTGTCCGAGTCCGACCCTTGTCAATTAACTACAGGGGTCCCTCAGGGCTCTGTTCTTGGTCCCCTCCTCTTCTCCTTGTACACAAACTCGCTCGGGTCTGTCATTAGCCCGCATGGTTTTTCATACCACTGCTATGCTGACGACACCCAACTAATTCTGTCTTTCCCCGCTCAGAGACCCAGGTCGTCGCACGCATCTCTGCTTGCCTAGCAGGCATCTCTCAGTGGATGTCTGCTCATCACCTCAAGCTCAACCTTGACAAGACTGAACTGCTTTTCCTTCCGGGAAAAGATTGTCCCACTCTTGACAACAACATCGGCACCTCTGTTGTTTCCCCGACTCAGACTGCAAGGAATCTGAGTGTGATCCTAGATAACAAACTGTCCTTCCCTGCAAACATTGCTGCTACAACCCGCTGCTACAGATACACGCTTTACAACATCAGGAGGATACGTCCCCAGCTGACCCAGAATCAGCGCAGGTTCTGGTCCAGGCTCTCGTTATCTCACGCCTAGACTACTGCAACTCCCTCATGGCTGGTCTACCTGCATGTGCCATCCGACCTCTGCAGCTCATCCAGAATGCAGCGGCTCGTCTGGTCTTCAACCTTCCTAAATTCTCCCACACCAC